CTAGCCTAAGGGCGGACCAAATAGCATGTTACTCCAGGGTAAATAAACCTCGAATAATTTTACTCTTTGGTCTTACTCTCAGACAACTTCGTTTGCGTTTTTTCAACACTCTAGAGCTAGTGAATGAATAATGAATGAATATGTGGGCGAACTAACATCGAAATATAATACAAACAATTGTTTATATTAAAAACATTTTCTCTCCAGTTATAGTTTGCCGGATTATACGAGTAAATATTACGAGTAGTGTAAATTTTGAACCATACGTAAAACACTTGTTCTGTTGATTTGAAAGCGGTCCCCTAAAAGAGATAAACTATAGGGTACTTGCGTACATACCAATATTACGTTTTTTAAAATGATTTATTTATTTATGATAGACATTATTTTGATAAATTACGATAATTTCGGTCCATGTACTATAATTCAACGCCCCTGATACGATAGTCAGCTCGCTTCAAATTGTTAACCCTGCTCGTGCAGAAGAAGAGTAGGAGTAAGAGTAGATATTAGGCGTGACGGCTCATGGCATGTGAAAAAATAGGTAAAAATGAAAGAGTTCATTTAAAATTGTTAACACATTTTTTACAAAAATATTTTATATAATACATTAAATAACAACATTTTGTTATGTTTAAAATCACCAAATTGTACTATCGATTTTCGACTTATATGTTACTTTATTAAATAATTTAAATTAATTTATGACTATCACAGTGGGACTAAGTAAGTACGTATATTTGTCTACAAAATTTTAATAATTTCATATGTTACTTATATTATTAAGTATAAATTATAGCTTTTTGTTATTCAAAACTCGTCAAAAAATAATAAGTTAGTGAAATAACAATGGTGGCGCTTCGCCAGTAAAGGCGGGAATTTTTTTTCACTTCATTCAAATAACAAAATGAAACAGTACATTTAACGAACTAGGTATTTTAACAAAATTATAACTAACATTGAATTACATTTTAATAAAGTATATATTCCCGAGAATTTTAATAAAACGATAAAATGAATTTTATTAATTGTATAAAATAAATTAATAAACGCTATGTACTTCATATTTTTATATTTATTTATGCCTTATTAGGTATATTTTGTTTCAACTGTAACAACTTTCATTTTGTAAATGTCTATACTTTAATCACTGTTTTTTTGCATGATATCGTACAATGAAATCTTAAAGCCAAATAATATTTAAACAAGTAATAGTTTCATAAAAAATTTGGAATAAAAATATCTTAGCTTGATGGTATTCTTATTTCATAATTTTTATTACATTAACATGAAAAAAAAAAATAAAAAAATAAGATATCTGATGGCACGAAATTTTTCCTACTTTAAGACTGTATTGTAATTTTTAGCGTAGTTATTTCAACATTTAAATATATTCCAAAAATAAAGTTATTCTTACAATTCTAAAGAACATAATACCAAAAAACTATTTTTTAAGAATCATCTGTTTTATTAAGAAGTTTTATACCACAGTCTTACGTTATCTAAGATAAAATCTCGTAAAACGACATTTTTAAATATGTCGGATATTCATTTTTAATAATAGGCATGTTGACAATTACTGATGTTGAAAATTAATAATTTCTTATGTTTACGTGAATACTACACATTTATATAAAACTATTTTTTAAGGATTTTATCGTTATTTTATATTCCCAACGTTTCTAGCACTTTACATCACCCATGATCACTGCGGGGACTTAAGTGTTCAACGGAATATAGAATAAATTATGTAATATACGCAAAAAAATTCATAAAAACTAATTTTATTTAGGTAAATAGGCGTGTTAACTTGTAGTGTATTGGTGTATTGTGTGGTGTAAGTAACGTGAATAATATAACCATATATATTCCAAACCTAAATTCCAAATCTCCATAAGAGAAATTGATACCTAAAACTCCTGTTCTTTATGAGCATAATAATACGTTTTTAACAAATTAAACTTTTCCTTGTTCAACGTCCAACCTTATGAGATGTGAATTAGGTAAATAAACGAATTGTTTCATACATTTGGGTAGAGAGATTGCATCTGCATGCAGAACCAAATGATCAAAGCGTTAAAGTATCTACCTAGGTAGGTATTAGAGGCACTCATATTTACATATAGTGCACTCATATCTCATATCATATCAATGTAAAATCAAGTGAAATATTCTTACTTTTTACCATCATTCAGAATTTATCTTTCATCAATTTCACATTTTATAGAAAATTTCCTAAAAGAATTACCTACTAACAAATTAACAATATGACTGGACTACCTTTAAAAGGAATCACAGGAAACGAACGTTTTTAAACCGTAATCATTTAACAATACGTCTCTATTTAATGTATAAAATGCATTTAAATTTACAAAATTTTAGGTTAATTTAAATCTTATAAAATATTTCATAAAGTGATTTTTTGTTTAAGAGTACTTATTATACATATTTATTTTGCAAGCACACATTAATGCTTACTTTACACAAATAATATTTCATCTTTTTGGTTCACAAATGGTTGGTTTATAATAATTCATAAGTAGTCATATAAATTTCTAGTGTATACGTGTGTACCCAACAAAGAAACTGCAAGAGTGCATCATTCCATTCTTTTACTAGCACACAATCCCAAACGCACCAAATAAGATTAACACAAATAAAAATATTGAGTTTTGATTTTTTACATTTAGTGTTTCATAGCGTTTGCAAAAACAAAGGATTTTATTCGCCTTTAGCCAAACTGGGAAAGAATACCTACCTATAATGTTTTTGTTTATTTCATAAATGTGTAATGGTAAAAAAAAATTAAAAATAAACTAAACTGCTAAAACGTCAACGTTATAGAAGTATAGTTTATTTATTTTTGATGACAACATTTTTTGTCGAGCTTCTATAATTAAAAGGATTGGACATTGGCAAGGTAATATTTAAAATTACCGTGACATTGGAAAGGCCACAACAGAAGAACGCTCACGGGATGAGATAGAACGATGACTATATCTTTCCGTATATAGTACACTCTTATCTATGACTATAATATCTCATAGCGTGAGTGGTAAAGAGCTAGAGTCAACTTAGGGCACTGCCCGGTAGTTCGTATTGGCTCCCATAGATGGCGGTATCTACATTCTTTAACATATCCTAAAATAAGGTGATAAGGTGAGGTGAGGCGAAAAATTATTTGTTTTAACCCACATACAGTATCTCTGAATCCTTTTCATAACAAAAATAAAAATAAAAAAGCCTATTCAGGTTTAAAAAAAGATTGTAAAATGTTGTCGCCAATATTTTATAGGTACATGACAACTATACGCTGGAGCTATATTATGGCTGCAGCATGAAAGGGTCGGTTCATACGAGGAAGGACCATGCTCTCACATGTTAGCTGAAAATAGCATCATAATGCTGCTACGTTGCGTATGTGTACGAGTATAATATATCCTTTTGGGCTCTGCACAAACGTAGACACTTTTGTGTCTTGTGTGGGATACAAACTAACAGAGAATATTTTATTCTCATATAATCAATATGAAATCAGCCACTCGCTGTGCAGACGCAGGGGCAGGCGCAGTCGCTTTTTGTATTCAGATGCTTCCACTTGACACATACTGAAAATGCCAATCAAAAGCTGTTTGGTATAGGTAACTGGAAGCTAACAGTCGTCATGGATATTAGATAGCTCAATAACGCCTAACAAGGCGACATGATGATTGGTATTGTTACCAAACCATAAACCGTTATCATCATCATCCTCATGTTCATTGCCTTTCCCTTTTTTAATTAGCTCGCGGTCTTACAGGCCGCAACAACAAAATCATCTCGAAAATAGACAGTCGTCAGTTGAAAACAAAAGCAATATTAATAAAAATTCAAAGCGACGATGTCTACGTCGACGTATAATCAACAAAAAGCGAAGGTAATGTTTCTTCATCAACATCTATCGTGAAACTGACGAAGAACAAGTAAAGAATTGTTACCAGCGGTGAGCAGAAGTAGTAACCGACGACTGAGTCCGATTGTCGCTACCGGACACAGCAACTACGGTTTCCTGTGATAGTGCGCCGTATCGGTAACTAAAAGTGTCTACGTTTACGCAGCTTCTTAAATGGAAGCAAGACTGTCCTCAGGGGTGACAATGCATCTGCCTTTTGATTCTTAATTGATAATAAATGTAGTTGTAATAAATAACCTTTAGGTCACTACATTCAATTCCTACAGGTGGACTGTCAGCTCGGTTGTTATATGTTAACCTTACTTTCTCAGAACAATAAAGAAGGATAAACAACAGAGTGCTGCTTGAATTTTACGTGATTACGAAACTAATCTCAACTTCTTAACCCACTCCAACACAAACATAAGGATGTCAAAAAACGGCTAATAAAGAAAGAAACGGGCTGTTAAAAAAAGAAAGAAGAAGGCTTCTTTCTTTTTTTATCAGCCCGTTAACGCTGACAGCTGGACGCGCACACATGCACCTAAAACGATGTTTGTTTGCAAATGACTTTAGATGCATATGTGTGTACGTGACTGTTTGATCTTACAATAAGTTGAGCATGGTTATGGCTTGGATTTTGCGTTATTGAAACACACGCAGCACTCCGTCCTTTTTTCTTTTTTAGTCTGTGCTTACTTATATAACTTTTTTTACGGAGTAAGGATGATAAACAAGCACACAGTACACATGTTGGTAAGTTGATGCTGTGACTGCTAGACATCTATATTCTTACTTCGATTAAGTTGATATTTTAAGATAATTAAAATGCTGAATTTTCGTTGTCTCCACTCAGGACTAGATGTAATGTCGCGTTTCCAGCAAGAAGGTTCTCCGATTCTCTACAGTCACTATACGAAAACACAGCAGTGAAAGCTGCTATTTCACATTGGTATACTGTGAGAGCCTAGTCCTTCCTCGGTCGAGCCGACATATTTATAGTACAACCATAATATAACTCCAGCATAGCTCTACCATGTTGGGATTGCGTTATTGTTTGAGGGATTGTTTAACCAGCTTGAACACATTCAGTGAGCTCCTGTACAGCGGCCGAAGCCCTCGTTTTCGCGTGCTTCTTCAGGTGATTGAGGCGTCTGTGAGCGTGCAGCAGTAGGTCGCGATATGATCGTCTCGAATGTTCGATGTCGTCTCGAACTCGGTTGATTTCCTCCAAGGCAAGTCGACGCCATTTTGTTATTCTTGGAGTCGTCTGGAGTTAGGAAAACGGATTGTATGTAAGAAAACTTCAAATAATACAATAAACTAATAGAAATTAATATATCAGGAGTGATCTAGAATTAAATTTATCGAAAAACATAAGAGATTTTATTAAAATAAAAATATCGATAAAATATAATAAATGGTATTAATAACGCCACATTAATAGATCGCGCCCAGGCTTTGAGTATACTCAAAGCGCCCAGGCGAGACAGAGCCGTTACAAAAGGTTTTTTTAAATTAATAATGTACCTTCTTGGGTATAAAATTCTTTTCAAATATTTCCCTATTAATAGAAAATTTAAGTGTAGCTCAGATGGTTAACGCTCGCTGTAAATATAACAGAACTCGAGAAACCCGGGTTCGATCCCCGCCGGCACCAACGAAATTGTTAATTGCAATTTTAAGTGCTGATTTACCACGTGCTCGGAGGTGAATGAAAACATCGTGAGAAAACCTGCATGTCTGAGGAATAAGAAAAAAAATATTTCGAAGACATGTGAAGTTCGACAACACGCATTGGGGCAGCGCGGCGGACACTTACTTGCCCTAAAAACCCTCTCAGAAATGAGGGGAGGCCTGTGCCCAACAGTGGGACGTATATAGGCTGTATAAAAAAAATTAAAAAGAACCGAATACTATAACGTCATTGGGATATATCGTTATTAGTTTCCGCTATTGATACTGTGCACATAGACGGTACGGCCTCGATAAGTGCCATTTCTAATCCCATTCTTTTTTCGTACGAACTGTGTGTAATTACAGGATGTGACGTATTCCGTCTTAGTACACAAAGGTGACAAAGTATCTGTAGCATTTTTTGTATGGAGTGTAGAAGTAAGGAGTACAAACTGTGTATTAAAAAGTGTCCATAGAAAACCGTTAAATAAGGGTGGCGCCACTATAGCTACGGGGTATACTTTAAAGAACGCACCGAAAAATATTAGTGGGATAGACGACCTTTTCGAGGTTATATTTAGTATCTACTAAATAAAATTATTTTAGATTTTAGAGCTACTGAGCAGTTTAGCAGCTCACTTAAACCATCGACAACTGCTAATTTCATTTCATCCCAGTAGCTACTCCAGCGCTGTTGTGGAGAGTTTTTGAGCTGTTATTTACTGCTTACAGATTGCCACTTTTTCAACTATTCTACTATGGGAGTTGGTACTCCTTGCTTCTACACTCCATAATTTTTTGCTTGTAATTTGTTGCCAATTGCCATCAGATGTACTCTAAGTTCTTCTTTTTTGGTAATGAACTCGTACGGGTGTACTTTTGCCAGTTCCAAGTATTATGAGATTATCCTATATAATAATTAGTTTAAAAGTTCTTCTTTTTGACAACGGCTTGAGTCAACAGATGATCGATGAGGAGAGTATCTTAAGGCGCGTAAACAGACACAAAGACTTTGAATTCGTATTACCATCGGAACACTCACGTTTCGACTAATAGTTCACATGGGCAGACATTTAAGGGTATATAGTAAGTCAGCTCAAATTCTAATTTCGCCGCCACTTCCCCGCGCGTCGTATGCTATGTACCGACATGTTTGTAATCACTAATACTGTAAGTAGATAGGTAGGTAGATACTTATTTCATTAGGTTCATCATATTTATGCCTGTTTCTTTACGCCAACCCAGTCGCTTCTTATTTTTATTACGGTTATTTCCCATTTTAATTTTATGTCGTTCTGTTGCGTAGTGTGTATTATGATTGTAAGCGACACAGCTTTTCCCTTCGAAAGCCGAAGCTAGACTGATGGAGTGGAGACTGATCGGCAGTGTTGCCAACATTAAAATCTAGCTCCCGTTGTAAAGAACACTATAATCCCGTCAATTACGGTAGACAAGTGTCAATCATTCATTTCTAGTGACCGAATCATTCTAGTACATTTCGTCACGCGTACTGGTACATTCGGATCGATCATTAAAATGGATCACTTCGGGCTCCAGAACTCTGTTGAGTCTGTTGAGATCCATTGGGAACCGAACATTTTCTATTTGAGATTTGTAATAGCGCCATCTACTACATGCTGTAGGTAATAAAGTCATTTTATCGAACTAAAATTTATTGACTTTCAAGGATATCACAGGTTTACAGGATATGCGACCCAAACAGTAGAGAGATGATAAATAGGTAGGTAGTTTTCTATTTCAACAGTAGTGCATCATTTTGACCGACTAACAACAAAACAGTTTCCGAGCTGTATTTAAAAGAATTACGTCAAATGAAAATTTACTCTCTCAATTTTTTAAAGATAAGAATGTATTACATTTTTTCGTATTTTAAACTAAAAAAAAATGAATAATATTATAATTTAATTTTGCCATTTCCAAATTATTTTTATTTCGAAAACAAAACCAAAAAACATAAATTTTTATTGTCCCGTTAAAAAATCCGTTAGCCGTTAAACACAATTTTTTCCCGTTGCCAACCTCGCTGTCCCGTCAAATCTAACGGGAAACCCGTCAAGTTGGCAACACTGCTGATCGGGCGGCGGGATACAAGCTTCAAGGCGCCGATCAATGATATTATAAGAAAAATAGGTTTTACTTATAATATCATTGGCGCCGATAGTTTAGGTAATTTCTTTTTACAGTGAAAATAACGGTAATTTAAAAAAAACATAAGCCCTGCTTTATAGTTAGTTCAGTTAGTATGCAAAGTTTCATGATCTAATTTAAAGTATTTTATGAATACCAGCGGTTTATTGTTCAGTTTGGAGGTAAATTTGGATTTTTTTTTCTATCGAGAAAATTTTACGGAATCGTGTTTTCGTCTAACATAGTACTTAACATAATCCTCAACTTTACCATATATTTATTTCAAAATTAATGCTGCAATATTTTCGACATAACGGAGGATCTTGCTAAGCCATTTGAGGTAGTGTTTTTTCTATTTCCCCTTAACGTACCAAAATCGACTTCAATGTTCTAACCATTAACTCGCCGGAGATCAAGTTCCCGTCAAAACTGGCTGTAAGTTAGTTTGTAATACAATTTTTAAAAATATATGGTAACGTAACCTGCGTTTTGATTGAGAAATACTCACTTCACACGGTATGCCGCAGTCCTTTATTATTCTGTCACATTTCTTAATATACTCCTCGCTCTGAAAACAAAATGATTTTTTTTTGGATTTCAATCCTTCTATTTCATTACAGTATATTAAAGTCAACTGCTGAACATAGACCTCCCCATCTTACAGGGGAAATGTTTACTATATACATAGTAAACACAAAAGTAGTTTATTATGTATATATTTTACTTTAATATATGATATGGTGAGTATAGAAAAGCGGAGACCCTTTTTACTGGAAAAGAGCCATTCTATCTTAGTCCACAGGGTTGACAGCACATTTTCATGTGATCGTTTGTCACACACACACACACACCACACACCACACACTCAAATCATTTGTTGTTTCTATTAAAAAAAAGCTTGGCGGGTGTGTTGGCAATCCCACTTTTTGATTTTGAGTTGTTATCAGGAAGATATTGCTGCCAATCTCCTATTTCAGTTTTCATCTTACTTTCTGTCTTCTCTTACGAGACCCACGTCACTCTTACGAGATATAGATTAGTGGATTACGCTTCCCTACACGACTATATGTTTCATATAAAAAAGATAAATAAATGAATATCACTGGTATATACATATACCTTATTAAGATGCATCCTGAAGACGATCATGTGGCCGAGGAGGAACTTATGGTGGTTCTCGCCGTTGAAGCTGGCAGCGCGGTGCGCGTCATATTCGATCTTTTTGAGTTGACTCTCGAATTTGACACGACACGAGGCTGGCTGCAATAACCAAAAGACACACAGTATAACATAATATGCATGTTTATTCTCCTTTATATCATTACTATATTCATCTTTAAGAACTCGAGCTTTACTGTACGTTACGCCTGAACCTGATTAAAGTCATTATTTTTATGTAGTATGGGTGACAATCGAGCACAAAGTTCACATTACGCTGTGGTGCGTAAAAAAAAAAAAAAAAACAATTGAAAATAAAAAATAAGGGTCAAAACCAAAACGTCAAAGTCGGCGCTGGTCCTGCGCCTGATCTCTCCACGGGCATGTCGGATTGCCGTACTCTACTATAATTACGCAGCGCAGGCGCTTAGCCCCTGATCGTACGTCATTGAATTTTAAACTCAATGTTTTACGTATTATATACATGCATAAATTCTGCTATTATAGTATAGCATATTAAATACAAATAATTTCTATTTTCAAAATATATCCGGAAGAGAAAACTAGATTGTTTTAAAGCAAACTTTTGGAAACATCCACCGGAACTGTCAGTTATTTTTAAAATTTAAATATAACGTTCTGAAAATACCCCAGTGCAGTTGATGTTTTAATTTATAGATTAGTTATTCAATAGATGATCTCATTCGATTGGGGCCATAAAAACCGCAGTTAAACAATTATCAGTCCAATCAGTCACTTTAAGTTACTAATTTTGTCAGCTCGGTACTACAGTGGCTAAATATTTGGCGGCAGCGCTGCAAGGCCATTCAGAATCATTCAGGTTCAGAACTAACACAGAAAAAGTGTTTGTATGGCCTACAAATAATTGTAATGGATCTACATGTTTGTCCGTATGCGATCTACGAATATGTATTCGAAACATATCCACGCTACATAATAAAAAAAGAAGCGTTGAAAAAACATTATTTTTTAAACAAAACATAATAGTGCTATTTTATTAAAACCTACACAAAATTCGCATTCTGGGTGGCACTACAGAAGACAGACACCGGAACACAGTAACTGAACGTCTGAGGATTGGTGTGCCACAATCGTTGCGGATATGATTCAATAATTGTTCCTATGGTTTGCATACCTATATAGTACTAATACTTATCTTCCTCTAGTTATTTTGTATGCAAGCTAAAATGGACTTTTGTTTTGCAAAGTAATAGTGTAGTGTAGAAAGTAGTAGGCGGTGAAGGTAAAATTGGTCAGGCAACAAAAATAAATAGAGGATCAGGATTGGAAAGACAAATATGTATATAAGTATGTAAGTAGTATAAGTAACACGATGACGACGAACTTTACACACTCGTATCTCTACAAATGCTATGTTTAAAAGCGGAATAGATCTATTTACCCTACCTCAAAAACTGGAATAATAATGGCGAAATTCGGGAAAACACATATAAATAATATAAATATGAAAATTCTTTTGTTGTTTCAAATGATTTTATAATCAATGTTAAAAAAAGATGACCCATACAAACCATAGATCGAAGTGAACAGTCACCTCAAGTCAAGTATCACATGAGTAGATTACTTATCAATATTAATTTAAACATCATTGATCGATGATGTTGTTTTTGTTGTATATTGCCATTATAAATATTAATTCGAAAGAACCAGTAAACAAAGCCATATTATAAGATATTGGGTCCTTACATATGAAATTAGGGTTTTGTCGTACTGATCACTTTTATCTGAAATATCTCCTCTTCCAAATTCAAATTTGTAAATTCATTTAGCTGGTACATTGGAGTTTTCAAAACAGTCATTCATTTTTTTCCCTCATTATGTTTTTTTTGGCGTTGCTTATTACCGCACAATGGAAAACATGAAATATCGGTATATTTACTAGTACGAGTTCTACCGTGACACCAGTGCTGCAGAAACAGCTCGAAGGATTAATTATGTGTACGTCGCTGGTGTCACAAAAGAAAGAGCGGTACGTTTTTGCTTTCAACGTATTAGTTCTGGAAATTTCGACCTTCAGAACCAACCCCGTGGACGGCTGGAGACCAAAGTGGAAAATGAAGAATTAAAGGCTATTGTGGAAGCGGGTCCATTACAAAGCACTTCAGAGATAGCTGCAGGCTTCGGGATAAGAGATAAAACTGTATTAACATCCATTTGAAGCAAATCGGCAAAGTAAAAAAACTTGAACGATGGGTACCTCATGAATTGAGTGAACTTGTAAACACGCATCGACTGCTGTGATACTTTGCTCAACCGACACAAAAATGAAGGGATTTTAAATCGAATCATTACTTGTGATAAAAAGTAGATGCCATACAATAATGGGAAGTGTTCGGCGCAATGGCTGAACCCTGGAAACCCAGCCAAATCCTGCCCTAAACGAAAATTGACTCAGAAAAAGTTACTTGTAAGTGTTTGGTGGACTAGCGCCGGTGTCGTTTACTACAGCTTTCTAAAATCTGGCCAAACGATTACGGCATATATCAATTGTCAGCAACTGCAAACCCTGAAGGAAGAACTAGCTGCTAAACAACCGAGATTGGTCAATCGCTCTAGGCTACTGCTGCTTCACGACAACGCAAGACCACACACTGCACAACGAACAATCACTAAGTTAGATGAGCTACAATTGGAATGTTTGCGACTTCCTCCATATAGCCTGGACCTTGCTCCAACAGATTAACAGATTACCATTTTTTCCGGAATTTGGACAACTTCTTACAAGGAAAAAAATCAACTCCGATGCGGCAGTCCAAACCGCCTTCAAATAGTTTATTGATTCTCGCCCCCATGGCTTTTTTAGTAAAGGGATCAATGAACTACATAAGAGATGGCAAAAGTGCATAGATAACAACAGTACCTACTTTCATTAATTAAATATATTTTACAAAAAAAATTGACTTTATATTTGTCCCGTACAAAACGCCAATTTCATATGTAAGGACCTATTAATTAATAGAATCAGGCCTTACTTTACGTAACTCAATTATATTAATGTTGTTTAAATTTATATAGCGTAATAAAATAAGCTAGCCGTCTACTTTACCTGAGAATGCTTTGTGTAGAGGCAAAACACGTGTCTTATTATCGATGTTGGTGTTTCATTCCCAGTGTAGTGTTGGGATGGAAGTGGTGCTGAGAATATTGGTGTCAGGGATAGTGCACACATTTGGAGGAGGGCGGAATGTGCTCTTCAAACTAGATAAGACACGTCATTTTATTTTATTACGCTGATGTTAGCTAAATAATTTTTAACAACTTTAATAAAGCCATATAATTTTTAAGGGATAATTAAAATCAGTACTATGTGTAATATCCTATATCTAATGTAGTACACAGAGACCTGGGTCAGATCATACACTTTGAAACATCTCGTTTTAAATAAATATTTAATTATGATACAAACTACGTAAACGCCAGGTTTTGTGTTTTAATAAATGTTAAAAAATATTTATTGTTATTCAAAATCAGAGGAAATTTTTGTTGGTGATGTGACTTATAATTTTAATAACCACAAGCGTTTGTACTCGCTCTTTTCCTGGCCACACATCACTAAGCACTGTCATTGTCAAGGTTCCTCTTTGACGACACACGTCAATACAACCATTTGTGTTATTGGCTGATAGTTGGACAGAAGTTATTTAAGGGTGCCTGCACACTAGAAGTAACGCTTTTCATAAAAGGTTAATTGTTTGAAAACTGTTAAAGCAGTGACATATATTTAATATAAATGTACCTACTTAAGTTCTACAAGAGATCACGCAGAGCCACGTTGCAGCTATATTACGGTGGTAGCAGCGTAAAACAGCAGTTTAATGCTGGTGTGATGTATGGTGAGTGTAAAGAACCGGAGTCCCCTTATAATGGAAACTAGGCAGTCCATGTTAGTCCTCATAGATGACAACGAATCTGTATTTTGAGGATAAATGTAGATTTCTATGAGCCATAGTATCCACTTACCATCAGGTGGACTCGAGTTAATATACGCAGCCGTTGCGTCGCCTCTTTTTTTCGAACTTGGCTGACACACTGCCATGTGTTTAAATACAGCTACGATCTCATTGGGATATAGAAGATATAATAGTTGCGATAAATAAGATATAAAAGTTGCGATAGATAAGATAGAATAGTTGAGGATCGCGAACTCTTAAGTTCGTGGGTTTGAATCCGCCATTCGACTACTGTCGTGAACTACTCGCACGCAAGCATTTAAGATTTACCAGGAGTGAATAAAGGGAATATTAGTAATATTAATTCCATTGATAGTATTATTATTTTTGATATTATTAGGAAAAATATCTTATCCAGGAAGCTTCTTCGTTTAGCTTCCTATCATCCTGGTCTATTTAAAAGAAAAACAAATCCACACAAAAATTCTTTATTTACTTTGTTCCTTGTTACGCATTTACTCTTCTTTATTTCGTCTTCATTATTTCGAATATCCCTAAGGACGTCTGAAAATATCGCAAAGTGGCTATTTTTCAAATAATTTAGACCGGAATTACTGATATTAGCTAGAGGCGTTACGCATAGATGTTTACATAATTTATACATGGATCCATAACAATTATTTACCTCTACTACAGCCTATTAAATTCCACTGTTGAACATAGGCCTTCCCCATTGATTGCCGCATAGGGGGGATATTTGGCATGGTTTCCAAACTTGGCAAGCGGATTGGTACCCGCAGTTTTTTTATTTCTATCATCATCAGGAAGACGCTGCTGCCCATCTCCTGATTTGTTTCCCTCTGTGTACCCACGAAGATATGGCGTGCTGAGGGTTGCCAGGTCTTAAAACCAAAACGTCAGACAGACTAGTCAGCTTAGCCGGACATTTCAGTAAAAAGGCGGGACACCTTTAATTTTTTAGTCTTAAAATATAATAACACGACAATTATTTTAAAAGTAATACAAGGGTTTTTACCATTTGCCATAAAATCTTCTTAAATTCTTCTTCTTCAGTCTTCTTTGTTACTAATCATTCCATATTAATTGCAATATTAATTTAAATAATTGTAATATTATGTAAAAAAATTAAATATGTATGGTCAAATTTAA